GTCTCCAAGCCTTAAGAGCTCTCATTCCAGCCATTCCCCTGCTCTGTTGGAGTAGCTGCCAGTGGTCACACAGACCAGGCCAAATAACACCCTAAATTACACTCAGGACAGCCCCGTCTTAGTTTAAGTGGGGAATACGTAAGTTAGTGGGGAGCAGGATTAAACTTCTGTCTGCAGCCCCTGATTTACACAGTGTTCCCCCTTTTGCCTCTGGTACAAACTCAGGCCCTGTTAGCAGCTCCAGGGGGAGCCAGGCAGTGACCCTGGGTCTGGGGGGTGCAGGGAGCAAAACCTCTGAATGACAAATCGTCTTGGCCCGGCTCAGAGGGCCCGACCTTCACACGCAGCACCCGCCGGCCTCGGCCAGAGGCTGCATCTGCATTCCAGGACTTAGTGAGGCAAATGCTTTGCCCAACCACAACAGCTCCTGTGTCTGGCCTGTTCCTGACAGATAAATGGAAATCAGTGCATCGTTCCAACCAGCAGAAGCCCTTTGTGTCCCAGAGCTGCTCCCGGCACAAGGCCCTGCCCGCCCAGCCCTGAGGGGACACAGTCCCCGGGGTTCTACCCCCTCAAAGGACATGGTGCCTCCTCTGCCCTGCACCACCTGGGCATCTGTGAGGGGCTGCAGCCCTGAACCCCCGCGGGGACAAGATTAACTGGGGCAGGTTTGCTTTATCACCTCAAAGCAGTGGAGGCAATACCCTGGTGTCTCTGTTTTCCTCTCCTGACAGACAGAACAGATACATCCTCTGGTACTTCACCTTCCTGAGAGCACCTGGCATTGCCCAGCCAGGTTTCCTGTTAGACTTCAGAGCCACCAAAACCAGCAGCAAAGCCAAGATGGTAAAAACCATACAACAAAAGCACAGCTCCTGAGGAACTCACACAGGAGTGGGAGGTGGAGCCGCATTAACCAGGACAAAAAAGGCCTATCTTTTTCCCTCTCTTTTCCTCTTCTTCGACTGCACTCTGGGAACTGAGCAGTCCCATGCAGTTCCTGTCAGTGCCTTTTACCACCTCCAGAAGATGACAACTCCACCTTTGACTAAAGGCCACCCCTGCACGAGGTCAGGGAGTCACCCTTTGCTCTGAGGCAGCATTTGGGGTTTCAGTTGTTGACTGGGTAAATTCCAGACTAAGACTCATCACAAGGGACTTAGAAGAGCCTCCCACGTGTAATCAACTCTTGCCTCTAAAACCTCATATTGAAAAAGCCTGAGGAAATAAAACAAAATAAAATCCCCAAGGCCTCCCATGGCCTGTTCCATCCCTCAGGCTTGAAAAGAACTGGGCCAACTGAGAAGAATTTTGATTATTTTTTTAAGTGCAGGTTGTGCTCCACCTGAGGCAGCTGAGACCACTTTGATGTGGCTGCAAATCTTCCCAAAATGTACTTTAAAATTAAAATGCTGAAAGATCTCTCCAAAAAAGCATCTTTACAGGTCTTTCCCACACCTTTTTTTTTTTTTTTTTAGTTAAATGAGAAGCCAATTACTTTTTTACAGTAGGAACTGTAGTGAGGTAACAGGAAAGCCTGGAGACTCACTTTAAAAAAACAAAATTTAAGCACTTCTAGCAGTTTTACACTGGGAATCTAAACCAGCAATTCCTTGAGTCCCACAGAGAAGGAGGTATAAAGCACATACAGTCATGTCTGTTCTCTGATATTGGAAAGCACAAGCAGTTAACAAAAGGCAGAATACAACAGAACCAACACAGTTCAACTTGCACTGTTTTTTGGGCTGCAAACCTTGCAGCCTGACACTTTTTGGGAACCACAGACCCCTGCAGCCCAGGCAGGGGGATCCTGGGTCTGGAAGCACAGGTAGCCCCTCTGAGGCTGTTTTACCTGTTCATTTGGCTCCTTTAAACAAAACAAAAAATCCAAACCCCAACCAGTGCCCAGAGAGGTCCAGTGTGATGCTGACAGGTGTGACCAGGGTAACTCAATGCTGGAGAGCGAGAGGAAGTTCAGTGTCTCTCAGATCAAGAAGCAGATTCAGTCAGTCATTCCATCTCTGCCTTCCTGACCTTCCCACATTTCCCCCCCTTGAAATGCTGTAGCAGATTTCACACCTCAAGGGGAAAAATTGCAATTAATCTCCTCAGTTTGGCCCTGTGGGGTGAGTTTACCCTGCAGAGGAGTGTGCACAGACGCACACGGGGCCACACAGACACTTCCTGCCACACACTCAGACTGAACCTGAAGGAACACAGTCTGCAAAAAGCACTTTTAACTGGCACCCTCACAAAAATGATGGCACTGTGCAAGGCAGAACATCCCAGTATCCCATTCTCTCATGCCAGTATCCCATTCTCTGCAGGTGCACTCGGTGTCAGGAAGCACAGGGAGCACAGGAGTGGGTGGTGTTCTTCCCTCCTGTCACTCCCAGCAGTCAGGTTACACTGTGATGAGCTTCCTGAAAAGGCAAAGGCCTTCTGATCCCCTATTTCTTTCCAAAAGGTGACCTGTCAAAGATGAAAAGTGTTTTTTCTTCTAGAGTTTTTACTGCTCAATAAAACTGACATTTATTTTGCTGATCATTCCAAGGAGTTTTTAGATATTAACTGAAGGGCAGGAGCTATGCTGGTATAAAATAGCTTTGCCCTATTAACCCATGAGAAACTGTCCAAATTTCCCTACCATGAAAACTTACACTAAAATTTTTGCCAGCTAGGGTGATAAAAATGCTTATTAGACAGTTCAGTGTCTAGGCTCTCTCTGTCCTGATCTTCAAGTACCTACATCCACAACTTAGGAGTCAAAGTCCAGCTGACTCTTCCGACTGTTCATTTTTGGTCTTTCCTTGCCAGGAATGCAGCTGTTTGCTTCAGCTGTGCTCTTAGTTGAATTTTCTTCCCTGATTATCCCCAGAGAGTCCTTGGAAAGGGGGAGCTGCTAGAACATGCCAGCTATTGCTATAGGGAAAATGGGATATTTGCAGATTATTTACATGTTGCACAGGAAGGTTCTGTTGTGGAGCTGCCTAAGAAAATAAGTGGCAAAGCTTTCCAGGCCATTGAGACCCTTGCTTTGTTCCTTCTGCCATTAAGCAGCAATTCTGGGGAGCAATGATGACTTTGGGGGTTTTGAGGCATTTGCAGCACAGCGAGTGTGGCACTGCCACGTTCCATCACTGTCATCTGGGAAGCTTTTTGGAGACGACACTCCAGACCTCTTTCCAAATCCGATCATTTCTGAAATACAGCACAAACCCAAATCACTGATTCCTGGTTTGCACACAGGGAAGAAAACCTGGTAACCCTGTGTGTTACCATCCCTTCATTCCCCACCTCTCCCACTTCAGCTGCAGATCTTCAAACAGATCCGACTTCCAGGTCTGAAATCAATCAAACAAGTCATTTGGTGACATTTTGTCGAGGGGCATTTTCAGGTCTGGAGCCCTCGTAACCCTAATTAAAGAGAGCATTGCAGTCTCAGCAAACAGCTTCATATTTAAAAAGAATTTGAAACATAAAACACTACTACAAAGACAAAACATGTGTTTACCCAGGAGAAACTTCCTCGATTAGTGAAGGCTGTGATATAATTTTCGAAGCAGCCACTGGATTTAGGTTTGGATGCAGGATCTGGGTTGGAATTTTGGCTGCTCAGCTGCACTGCAAATGCAGCTTCACAGTCTGGAGGCACCAGAGTGCCTGTGCAGGGCAGTGCCAGGGAGCACAGGCACTTGCAAAGGTTTCCTTACAGCTATTAAACAATAGAAGAGAAGGAGATATTTCATCACCTATCATCTATACATGATAATTCCATCTCTGGAAGAAAGCATATGAGGAAGGAATCATTTTTCTCTGAGAATTCTTTCCCAGGTCTTGCCTCATACGAATAAAACACAGGAAAACATTCCTTGAATTTGCTGACAACATGCAGATACATTTTTGCCAGTGAGCAGTGAACTAGAACTAAAAATTAACTACTCAAATAAACTGCCTTCTTTTAAGGTATAAGGAAATCTTTGTCACTTTTGGAATATAACCCCTCCTGTAAGCTCTGAAAACTGTCTCTCTGTAAAATCCTGTCCTTGTTGAACAAGGATCAAGTTCGAGTGACACAAAAGACTTTTCTCAGCTGTTGGCTCAGCCTTTGTGGACACAGAACACTTCTGGTGCCCCCATGTTACACAACTTGGCCTTGCCCTTGTTCTGCTCAGGAACACAGCAGGCCTTTACTGGGCAGGGACAAAAGCAGGCTGGGCACAGACTTCTAAGTCTTTCTGGCAAGACTACTCTGGCTTCCCAAAAACTGGTTTAAGTCAGTTCACAGGAGAAGTAAAGCACTGCTTCACCAATGGCCTGTGCCATGATAGGCCTTCCCACAGACGGATAAAGCTGAAGCAGAAAGGATTGCTCTGAGCTCCAAGTGAATTCCTCCTCTACCTCCTCCAGCACGAGACATTCCATGCCCTGCTCCCAACAGCCATGACTCAGTAGAAGCAGCATCTCCAGCAACACTGTGAGTTAGAAATGGTTTCATCATCCTCATTCCAGCAGAGCCTGAGTGCAGCAATTCCCCACTGGCAAGGAAGGATGCAGCCACAAGTCAGCTACTTCAGGGGAGAATCCACCACATTTTTGGCCACCACACTGGTGGTTTCCAGACAAAGGGTCTGATCCCAACTGCCACACTTCTTCCACAATGAGCAGCACCATTGCTGCAGAGGAAACACAGCAGCAGAGCTGCTGCTTGTTCCCTGGGCAGAGGACAAGCAGGCACAGACCCCTCCAGGGCTCTGCCAGTCCCACAGCAGAGGAGTCGTTTGAGGCATTTACCGAAGGCTCAAGAGCTTTGCCACGTTGTGGCTCAGAGGATATACAAAATGTCATATTACCAAGCACCCAAACTCACCTGAAAGGGGAAAACAGGTCCTTCCCAACCAGGCTGACCCAACTGGGCAGCCCTACACCTGCTGGAACAAACACCTGCAGTTGAGTTCCACCCCCCCGGAACCATCTCAGGCACTTGGGTCCAGACTTACACAGTGTGTGCTGGAGATGATGACGGAGCTGGAGATGAAGCTCAGCCCATCGTTCATACTGACTTGAAGAGCTGCTTCCCTGGAAAGGAACCACAAGAACCAAGTCAGGCCAGCTGGTCCCCAACCCTCTGCTTGACACCATCCAGTGCAACCCGGGCTGCTGATGCTCAGAAGAGCCTTTTGTGCAGGTTAATTCCCACTGGTGGTGCACTTGCCCCTGTGCTCCAGTGCATAATTAATGCCAATTAACACAATGAGCATGAGATAACATCAGTATTAGATCTATACAAGAGCAGCAGAACATAACAAAGTGACCCACACTCATCTTTCCACAGGCAAAGTAAATATTTGAGTGGCAAAAACATACATGCCAACTTCGCGCAGCACAGGTGCTGGGCACAGCAGGTAGGTGTCTTCCACCACAAAGGGTTTCTCATCTGGAAAAGAGAAATACTGGGATTTATTACCTGATCAGTAATCCGGCCCTGAAAGAGCAGGTTAAATAATGGTTTTCCTCACTCTTGGTACATAAACGAGGTCAAACACTGTGGGGGTTGAAGAGCTGTGTCACTTATCTGAGCCACAACACAGCTGAAGGTACAGAGCTTTTTGGAAGGTCAGGGGCCAGGATCACAGCCACTCTGTACAGGAGCCCATGGGGAGTTGCAGCAGGTTACATATAATTGCAAATATCAAAGCAAAGAAAATCATGTATTATGGGAAAATTTGCACTTTTAAGCAGATGCATCTGAACTAAATTAAACCTGTCAGCCCGAATTATACTGTGGGTTTAAAAGTGGAGTGAGAAAAATTATCAACAGGCAATTGCCTGGGAAACAGGAACATTAACTAATATTCTTCTTCTGTAGACTTAAGTCAGACAGATGGTGATCCCAAGGTAATCAGACAGATGGGGATCCCAAGGAACTTCCCAGCCCATTTGCCAGCTGACTAGAGATGAGGCAGATTGACAGAAAACCAGGCAGACAGGCTGGGTGGTGGTTGTTTTTTTGGACTGGAAACCAAAACATTCCACAGGAAGGACTGATTTGCTGGATCAGCATTTCCAGAAGCATGTCCCTGCATCAGAAATCTTTCTACCAGCTGTACCCATGACCACCTCGAGGGCCTTCACAGGGATGCTTATAGACCAGAAATGAGCTGTTGCCAAATACTACCAGCTTCCTAACATTTTCCAGTTAAACATTTTATTCTGTTTGAAATCCCCTCTGCTCCTGACAGATTCCTTCCCCTTGGCCTCTCAAACTTGCAGGTTTCAAACCTCACCTTCAGTGTTATCTCTGTACCCTGAGGATGGATGGGACGTTCATTCTACGGGGCCACCATGGAACAGGAGCACAATTCACCACCATCTTGCTGAGCTATTTGACATCACAAACACAAACCCTGGCTCTCAGACCATCTAAAGTCTCTTCACAACTGCATCTTGCACTGAATTAATTCCCAGGGTGCTCAGAACACACAGGGGAGCAAGGTCAGTGCCCAGTGCCCCACTGGCAGCACCAAGAAAGGAGAGGAGCAAGGGTGAAAGTTTAATCAAGACATTTAGCCATGGAATGAAGAGCTGAACTGTTCTGGCCAACTGGTCTTTTGCTTTTGAGGAAACTTGTGCAAGTTACAACTCCATTTCAGGTGCCAGTGGAAAGAGGAAAAGCCATGAGGAGACACAAGCCAAAGAGAACATGGCAAACTTCTCCAAAGCACTTTCTGCATCAGCTGTGAGCCTTGTTCCTCCTTCCCTTGGCTGCTGAGTTTGTCCACATGGATGGTGTCTAATGCTGACCAGGGCACCAGCAGCAGAGTACTACTGACCCTGGCCCTGACCCCAGTGTCAGCTCAGGGGGTTCCCTCACAATCAGGGTCATGCAGCCCATTTTACTGCAGTGAATGAGGCACAAAGAGGTACTGACTGCAACAGTCTGCCCCCTCATGCAGAAGCAGGACTCACCAAGCCAAGCATTCCTTCCCAGACATTCCTAGAAGAGGTTCCCACCAAATACAGAGTTTTAGAAAGCAGAAGTATTGCTCTGGTAACTCCTGTCACACATTAGAATCCCTATTTCATACTGGTGTATTTTTTGGCTTTGGCAGCAATATAAAAGGAGATTTTCTCAGGCAGGTTAGGAACTGTTTATTTTTTACACTCCATTAAAAAAAGAAAAAAAATGGTAATGAAAAGTTGTAACCTTCCCTGACGTTCTCCAGCTTCCAGCAAATCCCATGCCTACACATACACACTTGAATTTCTGGGTTACCCACAGCAGTTGTTTTGTCAGGGACTCTTTGACCCAGGCCAACAGCTGAACATGAAACATTTTGGGCAGACACATGGTTTCCACAGCCTGGCTTTGGTTCTGCCCCATGGCTCAGAGCTCCTGGGATCCCTCTAGATCCCTGCTCCAGCTCTTGGCCTGGAAAGTGCCAGATTAGTGCTGTCTTCCCACAGCCTCAGTGCAAGAACGTGCAGGAACATTTCCAGTATGCTGAACATCAGGAGCAGCTGATTTTAGCACAGGGTATTCCTTTGCCAGCCCCACACTACAGGAGATGCTTCCTATCACAGGGCATGGCAGGCAGAACACAGGCATTTAAAGGGTGCAGGGCAGTAATCCCACCCCCCCACACACACTTCCCATCTCCTCCAGCCCAGCTCTGGGCTCGTGGGGACCTTGCAGCACATGCAGGCCCTGGGTTTGCAGTGGAGTTACCAAGCCAAGGCAGCAGCATTTCCCACTCCAGGCAGATGTGCAGTGGTGGCTCATCTGGCCCCACAGTGCTGTTCTCACCCTGATTTATGAAGATATCATTAACTCCCATAAATTTATGACATTGTCTCAGTGCACACATGCCAAGAAAATGAAGACCAATGTCTTGTTTTCTCCTTTGCTAACTCTGGCAGCCAAGGCCAAAGACATCCCTGTGCCAGCATTCACTAGAACAAAAGCTGCTTCATCTTGCAAGGCCTTTTACTTAGATCTCATTAGGTTTTTGTTTCTCTTTCTCTCCCTTCCCACCCCTAACTTGCATCAGTCCATGCCTCTCTAGAAAGTTTATCAGCCCCACAGTCCCACGAGGGAGCTCAAGGCTGGCCAGGCTGGCTACAGGGAGAGATTAGTTTGTTTGGAGAATGTTTGTGTTCCACCGCAAAAATGAGGGACTATTTTCCTTTGCTCTAAACAAAAGAAGATCCATTTGGTTTGCATAACTCTGGCCATCTGACTCCTTCCTGGAAAACTCACGTAGGGAAACCAAACAAAACAACACTTCTCGTCTGCCCTCGCGTCGGATCTGCAGGATGCGTTTGGGAGAAGGACGCGGTTCGTGTCTGCTACGGAACAAACTCGCTGCATCCCAGAGCAGTGAGAGATGGGGCTGAGTGCTCCCAGACTCCAGAGCTCGTGCCAGAATGTGGATTTTGTGGTTTGGCCTGCTCTCCGCTGACAGTGCTGGTGGCAGGGCTGTGGAAGGGAGGGCGGAGCGCTCGACTCGGTGTCGCTGAGTTTCCTGCCCAGGACGTCATTTCGGTTCTTGGCTTGGGGCTGCTGGTTCTTCACCAACTTTTCATCTCTCTATTCAGTTTTAAATTGCCCAGGACAGAGCTCACCTCCCTGCCCAGAACTGTCTTGGCTGGATCCTGCACAATCTGGGCAGACACAGACATTTTAGCACCACAGAGCAGTCATAAGTCACTACACTGGATAATCACTTTTAACTCTGTGCAGGCTGAAACCAATTCTCCCAGGTCCTGCTGCTGAACATGCATCTGATTACAGTTCTGCTCAGCCAAATACTCCTCATGGCTTCTACAGATGTTCTTTTTTTTATCCCATAGCTATGAACATTATGAGTCGCTGCTCTCTTCACCTGCCACTTTTCTCTGCCAACAATCCCAATAAAACCCCATTAGCTCATGCCTTTAACCTCAGCACGTCCTAGCTGTGCTCACTACATCTCATCTGGGATAATTTAAGGTTTCAGGAACTGTTGGCTTAGTGTTATCTGTAAAAATACCTCCCTCCCTGATACCATCGGAGGCTGAGAGGCTTCAAGCAAACAAAGACAGCTGAGCTATCCAAGCTCCATGAACTGTCCATACAGTCCTCACTCAGCTGACTCTCATGGTGGGCTGTTTGCAGTTGGATGCCCCAAGGAGCAGCGGGTTGGGACTGCACTTTGGGACTTCTCTCACAGAGCAACTTAAACCCAACAGAGCTGTGCCAGTCCCACCTGGAGAGACCTGGGTCTGGGAGCACTGATGAGCAACTACTGAGTTCCCTCAGTCAGGGGGTGGGTGGAACTCAGAACTTGGGTTTGTGGCCATGTCACTGCCCCAAACAATCCAGGGCTGTGCAGGACACACGGAGAGGTCTTGGTGCAGTGCCAAGGACAGTGAGCTCACTTTTCACCTCTGCAGCAATTCAGGACACCGGGAATGCATCAGGGCACAGGGCAGGAAACATATCTGGCCTTTATCCTCATTTTCCACAGTCATTTTGTGGACACAGGAAGGCAGCTTCAAATAAAAAAACTCAGGGGCTGCATTAAGATAAGCTGATCTTTCCTGACAACTCCTGCGAAATGATGATGACAGATACCACAAAAAACTCGTCCAGACAAGCAGTCAGCACAGAGAGAGTGAGGAAGGAGTCTCCCTCCTCCCCCTCCCCCCCAGCTCACAGTGCTGGGGGGTGAGGGAACCCTCACTCACAGTTCCTCCCATTGGCAGCACTGGATGTGTCTGTGAGTCCACAGACAGGGCACTGAACAGTGGAAAGCTGATGGATGACATTCCCAGTGAAGGCTTTAGGATGTTTAAAGGAATGAATGCCTGGCTCCAGAGCCCTCCAGCTTCTGCTCTTCCCATGCTCAACACTCACCATATCTGACTCAAGCAAACGTGACCCACAGCCAGTCAAACTTTCTGCTTGGTGGCACAAGGGTGGGCAAGTCCAGAACCTGCCTACTAAGAGGAGTAAATGCAACAGCACAAAAGCCTTTCAGGACCAGTTACAAGCACTCACTGTCCTCCACCTGCCCTGAATGCTCCTTGGTATCCCAAACAGGGCAAGCAGCCTTGGCCAAATTCTCCTGCTCCAAGCAGCAAAGCACACTGATGCTCAGAGCACGAGCATGTGCAGCACTGAGCCATTAGACTTCCAGATGTGAGAAACTAATTAACACATTATGCTGGAAAGGGTCAGGACTGCCTCCAGAACGATCAGCTTCTGCACACATTCCATGCTAGGGAAGCTGAGTTCTGCTGTCACTGATGCTGCCAGCTCTGAGCTCTCTGCTTTCCCACGTGGCTCCAGACACACCAGGTGAGAGCAGAGGGCTCCTTAGTTCTGCCAGCTCAGTGTTCCCCCTGCACTTCACAAAGAGACACTTGGGGGCTAATTTGCTTCTCTTGCTTCAGTCCTTCTGCTGGGGCAACTGTAGAGGGAACATTTTTCTGAGCTTCCACAGCAGCCCAGCAATGCCTGAGCCACTGCTCCAACACAGTCCCAACAACCGTGTGCAGCTGAGCTGCCGGACCAGGCCCTCTGAGTGCCACAAAACACAGGTAAGGAGAGAAACACCCCTGATCTCCCTGCACACAGCCCAGCAAGACACGTATTGATGCTCTTTACAGACAAGATTCTTGTCTTCTATATTTTCATCCCCCTCGAGCTTCACATCCTTGCTGTCACAGCACAGGAATTGCCACCAGCGATTTTCCTCTTAAAAAAATAATCCCTTCTGCATTCTGCAAATTAAAAGCTCTGAGTCCCACAATTACTACTTTCACAATCAAGATCCCAAATGTCCTGCCAGTGCAGAGTAGGAGAATAAAAGAAAAGAGAGCAGCTCACTGAGAGTGACGGTGTCGTTGATCCTGAAGCTGCAGAGCACTCGGTCGACGTTGCGGGCGTGTCGGAATCCATTCCCCCTCACCACCACCTGGAAGGACTCTGCAGGAGAACAGGCATTGGACTTCATACAGAGCAAGGCAAGGAAAGGTCATTTAGACAAGGCACATCTCCAAAGTTTTCACTTGCTATCTCTTGAGCTCACAGCTGAACAACTTTTAAGTCTGAAAATGGTTAAAAATTGAACTTCCACTCTCTCCTTACCCAATTTCAGGTTGAATTTTTAGAAACAGGAAACAATTCACTACAGAGGCATTTTAACAGACTTGCAGTGAAAACAGGAAGCTTTGGGGACATTGAGCTTTGCCCTCCCCAGGTGGCCTGTGCTAGGGAGAAGGTTTAAATGGCAGAAAATTTTGGGTGAAGAAAGGCAGAAGTATCTTTCCATGGAAAGAAAAAAATCTTCTAGTGTGAGATAATTTGGAGAAGTTTAAGTGTTACTTTCCCAAAATCGTGTCAGTTGCCCTGAGTTTTGTCATGTCCTGCCCTACTGCTGTGCAACCACCACGAGGCCTTGACTGGACTCATTTCCATATGATGACAGGGGATTTTATCAACAGACCAAGGTTTCAATCTCTGGACAAAGTCTGATCTCAGAGTCTGTGGGCATTTCCCCAAGTCTTCCTCTTTGCTGTTTTCCCAGACCAACTCCACAGGGTCTCCAGAGGCTGTGGGTGCCAGCAGGGAGCACCAAGGACAGTCACAAACACCTGAGCCCTGAGCTGAGCGGTGCCTTTTGGAGCAGGCAGGGCTGAGCAATGAGATCACATCCTCACCAGCCTTTGAGACCACTCTCTACCATCCCTTGATATTCCAATTACTTCAGCCTAGGACTGGGAAAGGTTTATGGACTTCCTGCAGCCTCCAGCATGAAGAATGCCTTGCAAGGAAAGCACCACTTCAGACTCTCAGCTTTTGACTCGGGGCCACAGTCCCAGAGCAGTCCTGGCAGCAGATCCAGGGACTCAGCTCTGCTGCTCCCTAGGGCGAGGAAACAGCCCCCACAATTCCTGTGACTATCTGGGAGAGTCACTCAGCTAATCCCCACTGAAGTTTGGCTGGGGAATGTGATTTGAACACAGAATGTTTCACTGCCCAAGACAAGGCAGGAGTAACTCAAGACAAGGCAGGAGTGACCTCAGTGCTCCAGGGACACCACCCTGGTTTAGAGTCCCCAGGAGCACCAAGGAACTGAGGTTTTGCAGGTTCAGATTTCTCCCCTTTGCATTTTACAGTCCTCATCTCCTTTCATCTCCCCCAAGGACCCGTGCACTGTACTTGTCAGAAAAAGCAGCTTTGCTCCGGAATCTGGGCCCTCTTCCAGGTCCCGCTCGTTTACAGCCAAGTTGCAAATCATCCCAGCACATCCAGCCAGGGAAGCTGCTCACAGGCCCATTGTGTGTTGTCTGAGAGCATTTGGGAAGAATAGGGAGGGGGGACAAGAGCTCTGTTCTGGAGTGTGGGGGCTGGTGAATCCTTAAGAGAGATCACAGAAGTCTCAACTGCTGGGGAATGAGAGTTCAAGTACAGTCAAAGACCTGTATCAGTGATGTCAGCTGGGCCATGGAGACCCTGGCTCTGCTTGAGGCTGAAATGAACTGTACAGTTCACCCTGCAAAGCCAAATCATCCAGAAACTGCCGTTCCAGAATGATGAAATTAATTCCTGCAGTTTCTGGGACTGGTCAGCAGCACAAGAGTGGCCTCAGGTAACACAGAGCCCACATGTTTCCTCCTTGCAAAAGAAAAAAAAAGAGGAAAAAACTGCCACCACTCTCCAAGGATGTGCACAGAAACACAAAAACACGAGGTATCACAGCTACATCTGCAAACATTTATTTTAAAGACACTAATGCACATAATTTTCATAGTCAATGGCACTTTCATTACTCTCAGAGCCCTCAAAGATTAAACTCCCTGCAGTCTGAGAGCAATGGACTATTTGCCCAAACTTGGAAACTGGGCCTTTGAATTGAGGATCTAAATAATTACAGGCATTTTTCAAGGATAACATTGCTCCTCTTGTGAAGTACTGGCCAATTTCTGATGTGAAGAGTTTATATTAAACCTCTCTGCATTTCCTCTCAGCTGACTCTGCTGGGTACAGCTGTGCCCACCCTGCCTTCCCTAAGGCACAAGGAATGGGAGTGATGAATCAACTGACAAAGCATTAAAGATGGTTATAAATGATGATTATAAGTCATCTTCTGGCTCATGACATTATATAAGCAGCAATGTTTATCACTTGAATAAGTATGTAAATATATCTTTAAAACAATCTCCAGGAGTGTAAAGTGGATGTGAATGTTCCAGCGATTTCATTTCCCTTCCCAAGCATTTATGGAACATCACTCCACGCTGAGACTGTCACAGCAATCATCCACCATGCCAAGGGAGACAGGGCCCTGCCTTGGAGCCTATTTTAACATAGAAACTATTTAATTGAACAGCCAAAATGATGCTTAAGTACCATAATTCATGGCAATTATGCCATCCTGGCTTCAAAAATCAAAACTATGTGGTACATATGGAACATAAACCTGATGCCAGGTACTTATTGGGCATTTAGCCTGGTGTGCATCTGCTGGGAAAATGTGGCTACTTCTGGATGTTCAGGTGTGCAGGCAGTTCCTCCAGGAACAGGAGATGCAGGATCATTAAAGCAGCTGCTTTGGAAGTGAAGACAAATAAGTAACAACTGTGTTACTTACTGGGACTGTCAATATATGGTAAAGAAAGATGCAGAACTTGTCAGAGACTTGTCCTTCTCCACAAACCTCAGCTGGGCTCCCAACCTCTCTACTCAGGGAGTGCTACACACTCAACAAACAGCTGGGATGCACTTCATAAAATGTGAAGAATTCAGAGAAGCAGATGGCAGAGGCCAAAATAATTCTCTGGCTTGCTTTGGAAAGGCTGGGTCCTGCTGAATGAAGAGGCACCTGCAGGGCTTTAGAGCCACAGTCAGGTCAGAGCAAGGACAAAGAGAGGACAGGATGAACACACGAGCAGCAGACTGATGGTTACACTCTAGTCCTCAGTCACTGTATTGCCCCTCAATGCCTGAGAAATGTTCCAAGACTATTGGAAGCCTTCAGATCCAACTGTGCCCATCTGATGTTCTTCATAGTTTCTGAAGCACTTCCCTCACCAATCCTCCAAGATGATGAATTTTGCAAAACTCTGAACCCAATCAAAGGCTTATTGCCTGATTTGGTTTGTAATTATGCAGCATAACTACTTCAAGTCTGGCACAGTCCGAGTAAGACAGACTGCTTTGACAGAAGAACATTTAGGGGAAAGTATGGAGTTCAGGTCTTTTCTGTAAGAAAATCCCACTTGACATAATTTGGTAGAAGTGGGAGCTGTGCAAACTATTCTAAGGTGAAAAAGAAATGCAACAACAAAAAAAAAAGGCAAAAGATTTAGCCCCAGGTAATCAGTGACTTGTACACTTTCCAGCAATTAGAGATGGACTGAAAGTTGTGTTTTAGGCAACATGAATGACTGTGGCCTCAGTTGTACTTACCCCCTGCACAAATACTGGAAGGCTCTGCTGCCAGGATTTCTATGCAGGATTTCTTCAAAATCTAAAAGACAGACAAAATGTCATGAAGTACCTCAGACTGGTTGCTACAGAAACCCAGCTCTGGAAGCGTGAGTGCTCTCATCCTCACATTGACGCTTAACTCAAGGGTGCACTTTGCATTCATGGCACAATCTCAGCTTTTCACCTAAACCAGCCAACCAGGTGACATTGCTCCTCTTGAGCTGTTAGAAGGTGATGGATGCCAAGCTCTCCACCATCCCAGCACAGTCTTGCCTTAGTCCCCAGTGCCAGCTATTCTGCACCCACCACGGGTCCCTCCGAAGGGTTATGGAGGCACCGTCATCGCCCTCCCTTCACGTCACACCTCCCTCTCCAAAGTTATTCTGGAGCCCAACACTCCCAACAAAACAGCACAAGTGTAGGCTAAGCTGTTTAGCTCTGCATTAAAACATCCCACAGAGCCACTTCTCAGGTCTCAGCCACAGGGGTTACAACTTCTTTCGCTTTTAACCTGATTTATGAGAGCACACCTGGGGGTGTCCTCAAAGCTGCTTGTGACTTCAAATCAAATGCACAGCCAGTTGTTGTTTACTTCACCCAAACTCAAATGAAGCAGCATGTCTTTGGCAGGGCTGTCTCTGCCTCTAACCACTGTACGTGTAGACAGTGATTTACACGTTGGGCCAGGCTTGGCCAAGCGCTCGAGGGCAGGAGGAGCCGGCTGAGCTGGACACTGGTTATTCCCACATGGTGCTGAAACTGCCCCAGCTGTTATTTGAGGTCTTTGCCCTGCTCTGAAAACCAAGTCCAACTCTTCAGTGCCCAGCAAAGCCGTGCCAGTGCCCGTGACCCCCGAGAGAGCAGGACCAAGAACTGCGGGGGTTCAGCTGAGCAGCCCCTGACTGAGGCAACACCGATCAAAATTCAGGTCGGCTCCAAGAGGCAAGGAAATGTCAGCCAAGCATCATGACTCAAATCCAACATGAAAACTATTTTCCCAACTTTAAACTGAAACATCTGTAAGGAAAGAACAGCAACCAATACAATAAATTCTGTAAGAAAAAGATAACATTTTTTTTCTCCACAATCACGGCTCGCTGCCTCAAATACCCGATTGCAAAAGGTACCCAGAGAGCCAGCATTTATTTTTTAGAAGTTTTAAGGAGAAGATTGAATTACTCAGAAGCAGAGCTGGTAGAGACTGAGAGCACCAAGGGACTGAAGGAGGCAGGACTGTCTGAACTGGTGGCAGGTGAGGAGAGGGAAGCTTTGCAGGAACAAGGTTATACAGGAACTGTCAAGTGGAAAAACAGAGAAAGTCAACACTTGAGAACAGAGCTGAGAAGCAGTAGAAGAATCTGAAAGATAGAATAAGGAGAAACATGAAGAATGTAAAATACAATCAATACTTTTCTTTTTTTTAATAAAATCAAACCTCACAGGATTAAGTTTGAGATTCAGGACTTCTACTCAGCAAACATTTTGTAAACATTCCTGCTGTTGCCCAGCTTGGATGGGGGTGGAATAGCAGGTGTCTCAATTAGATGATGCAGATCTCCCAGTCCAGTCCAATCCTTTTACACAACCATAAAAAACTGGCCTTAATGGCTTTTTACAGTGCCAACTGCAATATTTATTTTGATTTAGATTAAGTTTCCAGTGCTCCAAGCACCCACCCTAACTTAAAGTGAAAATCAGGCAGCAATAACTATTGCAAAAGAATTCCTTTATGTCTCTTCCTCATTAAAAAATACATTCAAAAAAGACTTCAGTGCCTTCACCGTAGAAGATTTCATCAGGTCTCTTATTTCCTGAGGGGTGCACAGCCCTGGGGGCTGGAGGTGCAGCTCATCCCCCGTGTGGTCTGGGGCCCCAGGGAAGCAAATCTCATGGAAGAGTGGTGATGGAATCTCCCAGGTCCATAAACCACCCCGAGAGCAGACTGGGAGAACTGACTCTACATCCCCACTTTCACAGGAACAACCCCCACAGCTCTGGGGGACGTGGGGAGTCCCTGCAGGGCTCAGGCAGCTCTGCCCTGGCACCCACCCAGGGAAGTGTTTGGAGCAGTGCTCACTCCTGGTGAGGACACATCCCGTTGTCTCCTGCAGCACAGCTCAGGGACCCAGCTCAGACTCCCAGATCAGGCTCCTCCTTTGCTCCATGGGGCTCCAGTGATGCTCCAGGCTCTGAGACAGGCTCCTGTCCATATTTACTGACATGCCAGAGGAAGAACGCAGCACATCCCTGTGGGAGCCTGGCTTTGTGTGCCCCAGGGAGCTCTGGCAGGGCAGAACTGATTTTAGCACTACCTGTGACTAACTGACCTTTCTGCCAGGGGAGGCATCAAGGGCCAGGGGAGGCCCAGCAGGTCACCTGGACCCCAGAAACAGAGGGAAGACGGGGAATGAGATTCTGCAGCTTTACCTTGGTGTTCTGCTCCACAAACACAGACAGATTATTTCACCACAGCAGTTTCTTATACAGTTTTTTCACCAAATTTGGGAATTCTCATTAGCAAACAGGATGCTGAAGTGTAATAGAAGGTTACTGCCTAATTATCATTAGTGGGAATGACCTGCACTCTGAGGCCAGGTACTCATTAGCAGGCTCTGTTCAATTACTGAATACCAAAGTCTGTTGCCAATTATAAAACAGCCATTTATTTATGAAGTGTTTCCTGTCCAATAATATCTACATGAGCTAAGTAAAATAAATACATTTAAGTCCTTTTTAAAGATGCATTTGGGGGAAGAAAGAAGTAGAAAGCATGACTATATACCATTAAAACTAATGAGAAGCACTGTGCAGTGGAGGCTGGGGGTTCACATCCTCTCCCTGGGATGGGTAAGCCAAGAGGCTCCAGTTGTTAACTTGCTCTTTGGCCTGTGCAGAAAGTCTGGCTGTGACAGAAGACAGATTCAGAGTATCTTGCAAAGGAATTAACTTTTTCTCATCTCTCTCCCCCATTCAGGGGGTCTCAGCCCTCTCCCTGCACCAGGGAATCCACAGTTTATCCCTCTGCCAGTGAAGTTTGAGCAACCAGCTCAGGATGGGCACACCAAACCATCACCACACCTCTCACCCTTTGCCTATTAGATGCTCACACTGAGTTGTCACCAAAGTTCCCCCCCTGCACATATCCAGCACTGCGGTTTGTCCCAGGAAACATTGGTGTAACACCAGGATTCAGGGACAGTGCATTGCCAGCTCTGATTTCCTGGGGTGAAGGAGCACACTGACCTGTCACATCAGTTCTGAACTGCCACAGCAATTCCAAGAGCTGAGACAAGTCCTGAAAAATACCAAGGGTAGGTGGCATATCCTCTGCAAGAGGGTCCTAAGGGAGCACACAGGGAATTAAGCTTAAAGGGATGAATCATTTGTACAATTTATACAGACAGGGGACAGTCCCACAAAGTGGTTCATACTTCTTCCTTTCTAATCCATCACAACTGGTCCATGAGAACTGCAGCTCACTCAGGCTCCTTGCTAAGGGACCCAGGATTCCATCTCTGAGGTAAGTTCCAGGCTGCTGCCATGGTTTAACACATTCCAAGGATCAGGGAGTTTTTCTGACTGCTCCTCAGTCAGCTTCTGTTACAGGCTCATAGCAAAGCCATGACAGGATCCCATCCTGACTTTCATGTTGCTTCATGCTCATTGCCTCCAGCACTCCTACCAGACACACACTGAGCAGTCACTGAAGCTGAGTTTCAGGTTTTCCTTCAAAGATTTGCTCCATTTGCTTTAAATTGACAGGTTATGATTTGCACAAATTTTTCACAGCAAAGGAAAATTTAGTAAATTACTTCAGCTCCTTCCCTGAGACCCCCAGCCTGCAGCAATCAGTCAGTCTGCTTCTCCACCAGCTTGTTCTCTCCTGACAAACTCAAAATCCCCATCACACAGGGGGAAGCTGAAGTTTTAGCAATGGCTTCTTCACAATGAGGAAGACAAAGCAATTGGTTTGCTTAATAAAAAAGTCAGATTGGAACTCACAGGAGAGAAAGGACCAAACCCCACAGTGCACTGAACACCTTCAGCTCCCACTTTAAGAATCATGTTTTTAAGCACAGCTTCAGTGTGGGACTGGATTTTCACCTCAGTTAAGCACAGTCTCCAGGGGGGAGCCATAACTTGGTGGTGCCTGGAGGAGACAGGACCACACTGAGCACATCTGCCTGCAGCTGCTCCCTCCAAACTCCCTGGCTCCCACAAAAAAGGAAGGGCAGGTGCATGGAAACATCTGCAGCCCCACCACCCTGAACATCTTTGCTCAGCAGATTGAGAGGCCCAGCTGAGGCCAGTCTTGAGCTCCACCACTCCCAGCTCCCACCCTCTGCCTCATCCCAGGGGGACTTCAAATTCCCAGAATCACAGAATATTCTGAGTGGGAAGGGAGCCCACAAGGATCATCCAGTCCAGCTCTAAGTGAATGGCCCGTGCAGGGGTTGAGCCCACAGCCCTGGAGTTATTAGCACCAGGTATTAGCACCAGGTATTAGCACCAAGCTCTGACCAGCTGAGCTGCACATGCAGAGGGCTGGGAAAGCCCTGCTCCTGAGGACAGGGAGGAGGGAACAGTCCTGGCAGTCACACCAAAGCCCTGCAGTGTAAAACCAACCCAGGTCTTCACATCTCTAGAGTTAATTCAAGCACTAATCCCCACAGGCTCATCATTTGATCTTTGCCCCCTTGTGATAACCAGCAGGTTGTAGCCTAATCAACCCCCTCTACAGTGGCTGAGCATCCTTGCTGTGCCAACTCTTATACAGGAACTGAAAGAAGCTTCCAAATCCCAGGGCCCTTTCCCGTGACCACAAATGCTTTGTTTGCTCCAACACAGGGATGCTTTTGGCAAGGACAAGAAAAGAAGGAGTGAAGGACCTTATTTTCCAGCTAGAACAGGAATTTACAGATTGTTTATGTTATTCTACAGTTTGATTAACGTCCTCCCTGTCATTCCTCTCACACACCAACCCACTTCCCTTCTCCCCATTCTACTGCAGAGGCTCCACTCAAATCCAAGTGATCAGGTCATGGATTCATTACTGTACAATTGCACTTCCCTGTGACCCTCCTTCCCAGGGCTGGGAAATCTTGCACCAGTCAGCTCAGCTGAGGCAGTTCTTGATTGGGTTCCTGAAGGCTGTTCTGTATAACTGGGAAGGGAGTCAGAACTGCTGCTGGAATTCATTAAAAACATCTGCAAAGGGAATGCAGAGCTGGGGAGCAAAGTGGTTCTTCTTGTTTTGTTGCTTTCTGAAGTGACATGCAACACCTGACTGCCTGAGAGAGCTGGGGCAATAGAGCCACGCTCAGACAGTGCCAGGAAAACCAATAAGCAAGATATTGTATTCCATCTCCATGTGAGAGCAGCAGGGAGAACTGAGCCTGAGCTGAGGGAATGGTTTTGGTTGGTATGACACTGTCAAAACAGTGTGTAACCACTGTAAACAGAGAAATGTGAGACCCCCCCGGTGAACCCCCTTGCCCAGCTCCACATCGGACCTTTAGCTGAGTTTTATCAGCTCTTCCAAAATGAAGAACACACGTGTCCTTAAACGGATTTCCCATCCTTTGTAGCCATGGGAAGCACCCTAATCAGCCCAGCCACTCAAAATGGGCCAGCTCTTCAATGCTCCACCCAGTTCCCGCAGGGAATGCCAGGAATTGGGAATAGGGAAACCTCGATCTGGGGAGGAGAAGACCAGCCCATCTGCCAGGAGGCTGAATGCAGAAAGCAGAGGCTTGGGGATTTTGGCCTACAGAGCAGGATCCCTTCCCCCATTCCAGCAGGGAGCAGTGCAGCACATCCCCTGGGACGGGACAGATGGAGATCCCAGAGTGCCCTGACCCCTGGCACAGGATGAGCTCCAGCACAGCCCTGCTGTCCCTGCCTGGGGCAGCCACGTCACAGACTGTCACCCTGTGCCTCTTCGTTCACTCAGTTCCTTCCCACCAAGGAGGGAGACAGACAAAGGTCGTCTTTGGGCTCAAAGTTGATAAACTTGACCTCGAAGTAGTGATTTTAGTACAAACAAAGGTCAGTTCTTTGGACCAAATGATTAAGTGATTTTTCAAGCAGGTCCTTGTGAACACAGGAAAACCAAACTGCAAACACATGATTAAAAGTACTTACAGAGTCTATGATCCCCTGAAGGGCTTCAAACCCATCGTTCACTGGGAAGACATGATCTTTGCTGTCGGCAATCCGAGCCAGCTGACAGAGCAGGGAAAGGAAATAAAACAGAAATGCAAAGAATGACATAAATTAGCCAGCAGGCAGCAAATTAAGACTTCTCCAGACTCATCCACTTGCAGATAAAAACCTCAAATGCTCAAGTACTCTGTGTGGATTGCCACTGTATTATGGTTTATTAAGCAGTGAAAAGTTAATCTCTTTAGCCTGATTGATTTTAGAAAGGATCAGAAAAGGGCTTTTAACTTTGAAAGCAAGACTTCACGTGGCTTTCAGTGGTGCCCAGAGCCTTTAGTGCAAAAGCTGTCTCCTACATGATTGTAAACCACCCCACTCAGTAACTCCCCAGCCAAAAGAGGCCACAGCATCAACACAGGCAGCAAAACACTTGGACACATTTAAACCAGGGAAGTAACCAAAATTATTCAGTATTTTCACATGTAGAGAAGGCTAATAAAAATGTGTTCTGTCAAGGGTTGGACTTGATCTTGGAGGACTTTTGCAACCTTCAAGATGCTGTGATTTTATGAAATTATACCCCAGCTGGAGCCCTGACTCACCTTCCCTGTCAGGGCAGAGGTTTGACTACTGGTCCTACACTCAAACATTAAAGAGCCAAAAAGAAGAAAGCAGGGACCTCTCAGGAGATATTTTCCAAGTGGAGGTTAAAAGGTATCGGGGAGCATCCAGAAACCTCCACGACAAGGAAGAGGGACCTTCATGAGGTGGTGGCAAGGTAAGGGGAACCAGGACAACACCTGCAAAGAGCTTCATGCAGGTCCAGCTGCCAGTGGCAGACTAAGGGTTAAGCCCAAAATCTCAGCCCAACTCAGCAGTAATGAGCTCTCCATGCATCTGCTGGAGCAGACTCAAGTTTTACTGCTGCAAGGCCAACCTTTGTTCCAGTAATTCTCTCCCCTGGCAGAGGTAACCCAGCCCAGAAGGCCTCTCTGGATTTTCCTGTAGCACTGCAAGCTGGAGGCAGCAGAGCAGCCACACATTCCTCCCTAAACCCCACGGGCTCCAGCTTTCCAGCTCCTGTCACTCACAACTCCCACTTCCCCAGCTGCCAACCTCCTGGTTTGCATCCAGAGAAATACTCCAGGCAACTTTCCCCTGCCTGCTCCAAGAAGGGCAGCAAAGCAGCTCATTCCTTGTTGGCTGAGCTGCAGAAGCCTCTGTAAACTAGGATGTTTACAGTTTCCTCAACTCACTCCCCATGGTCCTCCTCCTGGTCCATTCTGGGACTTCAGACACAGTCGTCTAATTCCAATTAATTTCTTCAGCATTCAAATGCCTTCAAGTAGCAGCTGTCTGAGGCCTGTTGCTTTAGATCTGGTCTCTTCGGCATCTTTATTCCCTCTTTGCTTTTTCTATGACTTACTCTGGGTTGCACCAGTCTCTGGGTTTGGTTTGAAGGAGACTGTTCTACACCAAGTTTGGTTTGACTCCTTTTTTGAAAGATGAAAACCTGGAAAAAGTCTTTCAGCCTCCACTTTGGGGCTGTGCAAGTGTTTCACTCATGTCAGAAAAATGTCAGCTGTTAGTGTGTGAAATATAATTCATGGGCATACCAACATTCATATGACAAATTTAGAAGTCAGACTATCAAAGGGGAAACCAGCGTGAACTATTACTGTCACTAATGAAGGTGTTTGCTTTTGACAGCACAGTTTTCCCCTGAAGAGAAACCTGGATTGAAACTGAGCAGTTCTATGGCAATATTTGTGTGGGGAAAAGATGTCCCACAGCCTGCTCCTCAGGCCAGACAATGTACTCTTCTTCAGGTGTCTTTTCCTCTGCTTTTCTGCACCGTTACCAAGAGTATCTGGGCAGGCAGAGGGGCAGCTCTCCACAGCTGGAGACTTAGACAAGGACTTAAACCCAACACCAGACCCACCACTTCAGGTGGGCACTTTGGATCGTCGAACAGTCGACAGAAGGAGAGGAAAACTACTTGGGAACCTTGAGAAGGGGATTCAGGAGTGTGTGCCCGTGTTCAACCTGCACCTCTGCCAAGCACCTCAGACAAAAAAGGAGGCTTCTTTACCTGGGTCTCGTTGAAGTCCTTCACACCCACACAATACACTGTTGCTCCCAGGTCACGCGACCGATTCGCCTGGAACGAGGAAAGGCAGGATGACACGGATGCAAATGGGATGGGATGCAGGTTTCTGAAAGGTCTTAATCATAAATTTAGTCTTCCTCTGCCTAATGAGCAGGGAGGGCTTGTCAAAGGAGAGTTTTAAAAGCTTTCCTCCCTGACTCTGTAAATTCGGGTTTTATCTGTTTCTAGAGTAGCTACTGTTTAGTAAAGCAAATCCCAAGGTATTTGGTAGTTTTTTTAAACCTAATTAGTTTACCTCTTGAGTGACTTCAGCTTCCCAAAATATGTCAGACAGACTGAATCAATTTTCTTTGCATCATTTAGGGCACATCTCAGTACAAGAGTAACCTAAAATGCTTTGGTGTTTTCTGTTTCAGATGTGTGCCTGGACTTATGTATAGGTGAGAGACATTTCATTCCATCTGCTACAAAACTGTATCACTCCCACTGCTTACACAGCATCCTAAACTAAAGGGGGGACATGCACAGGTTTGATTTTTCCATTGAAGATGAAGTTGCATTTACTATTCAAAAGGCAAATGCTCCGAATGCATAAGTACAATTTAAGTCATTAGAACGAGAACACGTGACCTGACCAAAACCCCTTCCCAGAACAGATGGCAGCAAGTCAGACTGTATCAGAAGACTGTGGCAATTCAAGTTGTTCCACAGCAAAGTGCTTCAGCAGAAAAGCCTCATTCCTGTTTCACACTGGGAAGCTTCAGCCCAAACAACTGCAGCAGCTCCCAGAGTAGGAGCTGAGTTCAGGATCTCCTCCTGCCAGCTCTTAACTGCTCCTCCCCAAACCAAAACAAATGGAACACTTCTGACCTTTCAACTTGTTCATTCACCTCTAAAAACAAACTTGCTTTTCTTGTGGGTATTTTATTTCAGAAGGGAAGAAAAGGAGATGAAGAGCAAGGAGGGGAACTGCAGATCCAGGACATTTGTTTGTGCTGTAGCAGTATTGGTTTTACTCTACAAAACCTTTCCTCTTGTTGTTGTTGGATTTAAAGCTGCACTTTGGACAGACTGAGAGGAAAAAATCTGTCCATAACAAATTCATGCAAAAATACCATCTTCCAAGTTTAGGTCATCCTAATTTGCTTGACTGACAAGTGCAAATTGGTTCATCTCTTCAGAGAGGACTGTCCAAAGGGCAGCAAAGCTTTCAGTGCTCACCCTACTGTTTAGCTAACATCTTGCATAGTTCACTAATTTAATGAGGATGCTGAGAATATGTGCTTGAACCGTGGAAATATTCGTGGAAATTTTGGATTTGATCATCTGAGAGGTTTTCTGATGTCCCTGAAGTTTATAGGAACAACAACCATCCTCCTTCTGCAGCCTTTACTTTTTGTGAGAGAAGAAAAGTGAAAGTGAGAAGATCCAGGTATTTCCCAGAACAATCCAGTCAATACTGAAACTTCTCAGCTGTGAATTCTTCCTTCCTCCAGTGTTTATTTTTAACTGGAAGTTCAAAGCCCTCTCATTTCCCATGAACAGTCTCAGCTGTGATGAGTCAGAAGCGTTGCTGCTCTTAATGGTTTTCCTTATCTTCTGCCTTCAAAGCAGCAGGCCCAGACATCTCCCTGTCTCCCTGACTGAAAATGTGTGAGACACTCACCTCCCTCTCAGAGTAGAAAAACAGGTCCTCGTGGAGCTCTCCATCGGTCAGAGCAATGATGACACTGGCAGTTCTGTAACCTGAACACACAAACTCCTTCAGGCCCTTGCTTTCATTGTGTTTGCTGAACCACCCTAGAAAACATCCTGAGAGAGGCCTCTCAGCACACCCAAAGGGCCATAAACAGCAACTGTCAAGCTCATGGCCTCCTCCCTCCAACCAACCAGTTTTCAGGAGACATAAATTTCTCCACAGTTTTTCACTCAGGCACCTGCCTTCAATCTCAGTTTTATATCCCACCCTTTTGATGTGCCAATGGCTTCAATTGACAGCCCCTCAATATTTCAGTTTTACAGACCAGTAGATTAGGCTGAAGCCATCAAAAAACCCAATGCAATTTGTTCCTAGTTAATTCCTGATTTTATTAATTATATTAATATAGATATTGTAAAAAATAATTTTATTAATTTTATCAATTCAAGAAATCCACAGGGTTTTTTTCAGCTTGTGATAAAAAGCTCAACTGGGATCTAAACAGAGATGGTAGGAAATGGCCTAAAATCTTCAACATTTCAGCAATACCATTAAACCTTGTAATCATCCCTTCCAAACAGGCAACTTCTTCAAGTGCTGCAGAACAGAGATCTGACACCTAAAATTTCTTAGTACTATTTAGAAATCCCCAATTTTCAACAATGTGGTAAGGATGCAACAAGGAAGTCAAGCAATGAGCAACATGTGGGGTTATTCCCCTTGCAGATCCCAAACTCAAGTGCTCAGGCTCCTTCTGTAGGACATGGAAAAAACTGAACATTTCTGGTAGAGATTCGGGAGCGCAAGCGACCTCCAGAGATGCCTTTCTCCCTCCATTGACTATGGCAGGAGCCTTTGAACCTCCTGCAGGTGGGATAAACCCTCCTTGGAGTGGAGCAAGGACAAGCACAGAGCTGTTAAAACACACAGCCCAACATTCAGGCTGGACCCAGCTGTCCAGTGCTTCGTGCACGTGGTGGGAACAGCTTACATGTGATACATACACCAGCATGCAACAGCATCATCAATCCCAAATTGAGCTGTTCCAGCTATTCCATTTTCCTGCAGGCATATTTTACAGGTGAGTCCCAAAGCTGTGTGGACTTAACCACGACTTCCTCTTACTCGTGAGTAGCCCTGTGAGACCATTAGGCCTGGTTTTGTACTCAAACAGCTGGTTGTCTGTCTTTTGGTTTCTGAAGCAATATTTATACTCATACTTCAGGCTTTGCAGTGTAGAAAGATTTTACATTAATTACAGGGAAGGACAAACATTTTTGCAATTGTCTGCAATTACTGATGGTTTTAATAATTGCTTATTAAAAAATCTTTTATTTAACAGCTTCTCCACATTCTTATGTTTGAGAAGGAAGAAGAAATGGCTGTCTGAGTCCTCAAACAAAAGGAACAAAGACAGTTTTGGTAAAAGTGGGCAGTTCAGCCAGGCTGGATTCTCACTTTTGGCCTGAAACACTTTCATTCCAGCTCTGGCTCCTTAGAGCTCCACCAGTTCTTTGTCCCTTTCAGGAACACTACACTGACCAGCACTGCATTCCTGTAAGAGCAGCAGCCTTACACCACCCTTCCCACAGTGAAGCTGCATTTCAAATCTGTTAAAGTTATGTCAAAAAGAAAGAGAAAAAAAAATTCAATGGATCAAGAAAAGTCTCTCACCGTGAACATTTTCGTAGTAAATCTGTTCACTTGCCTGAAATTAAATCAGAAGATTATTAGTAATAAATCAATAATAATACTTTGTGGGCATCTACTCATGCACCAGAAAGAAAGGGAAGATGGCAGTGAGGACTTGCAGTTCACACATGACCTCTGCTCTCAGACATCTGAACCCTTCCCAGAACAGGGCTCTTGCCTGTGGCTTTGACTGGGTTACTTCAAGGTCTTATCAAAGCACAGCTCAGTCAAACCAACCCCAAGGCCAACACTAACATTGTCTCCCACTGTTCTGCTCTCTGAAAATCCCATTCACCTTCCTCCCTGAGAAACATCCCAGGCCCAATGATAAATATTCCCCAGCACCTCCAGATCAATGACTCCAATTGCAAACAAACCCAAGTCTCTGTCAGGTCACCTGAATTTCTGCTGTGTACTCACATTTAAATGTGAACAATGTCAGTTCAGCATTTACAACAGGCAGACGGTTCAAAGTCTTCCCAAATACATGTGTAGGACAGGAGTGGGAGGGAGTGCAGGAGTTCAGGTTTAGAGAGACTCCTGAGCTTGTAAAATATATTAAAAAACCCATCCAGAAGAAGGTCAGAGCAGGCAATAACGTCTGCACAGCATTATTTGGCCACCAGTGAGAACAGGTTGGAACCACGGCCTCAGCCCCCGCCCAGCTCTAGCAGGGCTACTCTAGGCAGGATTGACAGCTTCCCACCCTTCAGGAACACGTGGGATTGCAATGCCAAAGCCTTCTGCCTTGTCCTAAACTGAAAAGGCAGCTCCCCCCTGAAAGCTGAAGGCAGAAATAAAGGTAGCTGGTGGAGTTTGCATCTCCCATGTCCCAGTTCCAGCACTGCCCACTCACACCTCACTGTACCTGTGGCCTTGTCCCACTCACCCACCAGGGAGTTATTGGCCAGATTCCTCTGGTTACATTTCCTGAGGGGCAGCAGATGCAGTTTGAGGCACCACAGCCTGCACTTAGTTACCCTTTCAAATCCCTCGTGCATGTACGTGTCTCCACCCGGCAGCACCTTCTGCAGCTCCTCCAGGCCCTGGCGAATCTGCTCCCTGAAAGGAATGCAGACACTGTCAGATCCAAGATCCAGCTTCTGGGGAGCTGATATCCAGGGGAGGACATGCATGGCAGAGTCAAATACAGAGGGGGAAAAAGGAGTTAACCCAATGTTTACATAGGCCAAGTCTGGGTAGATACCTCTCCAAGGATGTGGGAAACAGAGCAGTTGTGCTCCCAGTGTTCCCACAGCCTGGGGAAAGCCTCACAGAAGCAGCATCTCCTCAATATCCAAACATTTCACACATTTCTTCCTAAATAAATGCTCCCTGGTCAGACTCAGCAGCCGACTCACCTGGCTCACTTTCCTGACTGTGTTTGCTGACTTGACTAAACAAACATAATCAAACAGCCCGGTTTATTTGGCCATTACACCTTCAGTTCCTGTTAAAACTGACTCGAAGATTGAAGCCTTTCCCAATGGCTCATTATGACTCAGGGGATCTGTTTGAATTCTTTTCAGGAATCCCAGGCATGGTGAGATCAGCTGCAGGGTACCCAGGGCAGACAGTCATCTGCTGTTCCCCTGAGTGGCAGACACCAAACTCTGGGAGCCAAGCACAGGCCAGAAGTCTTTAATACAAGATAACACCCTGCAGTGTGTGGGGTATATCTCAGCAAACTCCACAATCTTCATGGGAAAGGGATGAAGTCACTGCAGGCAGGACCACATGGACATGCCAGAAGTCAGTTTTGTCTCTGCATTTTTTAACTACTTCAGAAACCCCACACTGTGTGATCACACACTCTGGAGCTCTGTGGTGAGGCTGAGGGCATTAACACTGTTCAGTCAGCACAGCAGTGACTCCCCCAGGGAGAAAAAAAAAGACTGTCTGCTTTTGCAACAGGCTGAATTGTCAAACTTTGGAGAACTCATTCTGTACCTATGATTCCCAAACCAGTTAGACACTAGTTAGACACTGCCATAGGTGGACTAGTGGCAGAGATTTCCTCCTCTCAGCTACTCATGCACACACCAAGCCAAAGCTGAATATAAAATGGAGCATTTCCTGTGATCACCATTTTTCAAAGGTGAACTGACATTTTCAAATCCACAGCACAGGTGTTTAGAATACGCCATCCAGTCCCATCAGATGCACAGTTTTTCCAAAAAGGGATGCTCAGAACCCTCAATCTTCACATTCAGAGGCTGATACACCACACAGAGGCACAGACAAGGCAGAGGAGGTTTTCTCACCACTCCACCTTCCCCATTTAGAAAGGCCAGCGGGAACTAAAGGACCAAAACCTTGTTTGTCTGTCCCCCAATAAAAAGCAGCAGCTCTGCAGTCAGCTGGCTTTTAGACTAATACCATATCAATATCCTGTTCCCAGTCAACATTTCCAGGGCAGCTGGATAAATATGGAATACATTTCCACATGGGGAACACTTCAGTCTCTTAGTTCAGAGCCTTAGCAGATGAGGTATCTCTGCAGCAGGGTGTGTTCAGGGGGTGGGACACAGCAAGGGGCAGGGAACAGGTTTACTGCTGGCACCCAGTTAAATAGGGTTTATTCTCTTTATCCTTATTGTTGCAGTAAGTGGCAAGGAAGGGCTGCTTAGGCTGGCTGGGGTTAATGGCATTTGCAAGGCTGGGGTGTATGTGGACTGCTCTGTAGGAAGGCAGCCAGTTTCCTCCCTGTTCCTCCATGGGAGCTGCTCTGGTATGTGATTTCAGACATCCAATATGTAAAACACATGCTGACTTATACACCCTACACATGTGTTACATATATTTCTGCTCCACGTGGCAATGAAGTTAACAGAGGAAGCGAGAGCGATTTAAGGACCTCGTCCAACTCTCCTTGAAGTCAGAGTAAAATAAAAAACTCCATCCCACAGATTTTACTGGGATTAACTTGGGGATCTACAAAGGGGTGACAGGAACACGCTTCAGAAACCTGGCAATCAAACTGCCATTGCCAAAAAATACAGCCCCTTGCAATCCATCCCAAACACTGTTTGTCTGTAATATCCCTTCAGACCTCTGAGGAAATCACATTCCCCTCCACCTCAAGAGTGTGGGAGTCACCTCTGGCTTTCAAGTCTGTTTTTATGGGAAGGGAGTTTCACCTATTTGTTTGCAGAAGAAACTCCCAAAGGATGTTTCACAGGCAACAAGCCTCTTGTTCTCCGACAAAAGCCTGAGTCTCTGTGGAATGCAGGTCCCTCAATGAAACCAGTCTGAGCTAAAACCCCAATAGCTAACAGAAAAGACATTTAAAATTTAAGAAGCCAACCTCTGCCTTGAGAGCCCTTAATGTATTCTAGGATATGAAAATGGGCAGGTGGTTCAAACAATTAAGGTATCACAACTCTGTTCACAGTGGACTGGGAATTGTTGAGCAAGGAAGGTGAAGGGACACAAAAGGTGCTGTGCACCTTGAAACCTCTTCTTACCTGTCTTCTGTTAACCTCATTAGAATTGTCCCTCTAGTTGAAAAAACAATGAAGGACATCCTCAGCTGAGGGCTGGAGGAGAGAAAAGAAGTACATTAATTTGCTGGTGCAGAGGTTCCTGTGTGTGTGACCCCAACCACACAGGACACTCTGCTCTCTCAGTTATAACTAACAGGGGCAAAGGCAGGAGGAGGCAGCAGAAGGTGCTTTTCCCTGGGCCTTCCCAGTCAAGACAAACCATCCCTGTAAAGAGCACTTGCATCACAACCTTGGGATTGCTGAAGCAAGAAAGGCTTAAATGCATCCTGGAATCATCACGAAGACGAGGGAAGGCTAATTGTGTTTATCATAACACATTCCATGTCCTGAGGGATTCTCCATGCAGTCTCAAGTCATTCAGTGCCTGAAAACTACAGCCACAGGCCCCTCCCTGCAGACCCAAACCTGTGTGCCTCAGGAGCATCTCAAACAGGAGGACTCCTTCCCCACAGGGGTAAGACTCGATCCAGGCAGGCAGGAATAGAGGGATCAGCTTAACTCCTCCTATTTCCCACGTGACAGAAATCTGGGGAAAAGCAGCCACTGGGATGACCTGAGGAAAGCACTAAGAACCCTCCCTCCACCCCCAGTGGAAAGCAGCTCAGCTGAACTGGGAGCCACTGGTCCCCTGCAGCACTTCTCACCTGATGAACTTGCGGGCCAAGTGCTCCACGAAGTGATAGATCTCATTCCAGTGGTGCAGGACACTTCCTGACCTAGGGAGACAATGATTACAGGACAGATTAGTTCAATTGCTGCTATTGTAGCTTTCCCAGCCCTGTGTCCTTTCACACCTTGCTCAGCCAAGCACTTGCCTTTATTTTGTTTACCACTCACTGCCCATATTCTTCCTGTAAGGAGAGATTGAACTGTAAATGACATTTCCTACTTAACTTTGAAAAGCAAGAATAAGTCCCATTCCATACAAGGGTTTGAGGCTACCCCTGGCAATAACACATGGCAATTAGGCTGGACCTTAACACAGCCTTAACCAAACAAAACCTGTGTGAGTGAAGACCTTCTCTCTGAAGTGTTTTAGATTAATTCCACCCACTCACTTCCAAACCATTACACAGAGCTTTCAGCTCAAGTGTATTCTGAGAATAACACACAGTTGGAGGAACAGATTATTAAACTTCTCTTGTGTTTCCACTGTACCAGACACTATGAAAAGTAAAATACCTTAGTCCACGTCTCAACTGTTCTGGTTAATTCTTTCACACCTCAGCTAAAGACAAAACAAACTAATTTTGCTCCTCGAGAGGATAAACTATGGGCTATAATGGGATTGGATTATTCTTCTTTATGTTGTAAGAACTAGGAAAAATTAGGTTAATCAGAATCTTTCAGCACTAAATGCCCCTTCTAGCATAAACACTTCCATGAACACTGGAATATTAATATTGGAAAAAAAATTCCTTCCTAGAGTTGGAAAATAAAAGTGTCATCACTTAATTCATTGACTACAATTAGAAATATTTATAGGGGAAATAACCATTCCAGCCTTAACAGAAACCTCATTGATCTGCAGCCTGAGGAAGAAAAGATGAACATTTGAGGTGATGGTTTTTCACTTCACAGGACGAAAAGGGACCTGCCCTGCCCTACCTCAGATCTGAGGGAGTAAATGCAGAGCCAGGAATGGGTTCCCCCAGGCCCTGCTCCCCCAGCCCAACTCCCAGCCTGGCTGCCCAGAGCAGGACCTCAGTGCTGGAGGCACAGCCAGCACTCAGACCCGCTGTGGGGTCACACACATTCCTCCCCTCGTGTTCCTTTACAGCCATTCAGTAAAGCCTTGGCTTTGCCCTCTTGCTCCAGGATATCTGTTCTTCCTCTGTGTGACCTGAGTCTGTCCAAACACAACGTGCAGTGAGGACCTTGGCACAGGGACAAGAGCATCTGGTCCACCTGGAAGAACTGTGAACTCCCCAGCTCTCGTTGCCAAAAGCCCCTCTTCAAAGGTCCCCTCCCAGTCACCTGTTTTGTGCAGGGCTGTGGGACAGATGGCAGAGCTCAGTGATCATAAGCAAATGCTATCAGTGCTAAATTTCTTCCTGGCTGTCTTCCATCACACCAGGACCTGAAATCATGACTTGTTCTACACACAAATGTGCATCAAAGAGGACTAAAATAGCAAAGGTCTTGATCAACTAATTAAACCAGAAACAGTGGGAAAATTGGTGTCATAACAGATGAAGGGTAAGGTACATCAGGACTTGCTCTCCAGCAAGGAACTTAACTCCCATTGCATCCAAACTGCAAACTGATAGAACAGAGAGAGACACACAAATCCCAACCCCAGGAGCAAATTGCCCTGGGATCTATGGAATAACTCTGAGGCCTTGAATACAACAGACACTCCAGTCCCAACAATGCCAAATAGCACAAGTAATTTCCTAGAACTGGCCCGGAAAATCAGTATTTATTGTCTTTATATGGTGAGGCATAAAAGAAACACTTGACTTTAAAGCAATGGTCACATCAGCCTGCAGAAGACATGTAAAGCCAAGGCTTGGTTAACCACAAACCAGTTAGTCCTTACCTCAGTGAAATGTATCTTGTTTAGACCATATTCCTACCTCTCAAAAAACACACCTCAGTGAAGTTCCACATGTCTCCTGAACCATCTGGTACCAGACATGTGAAGCTGAGACCCTTCCTCAAGCAGCCCCTCCCCAACCTTCTCCAGCCACCAGGTGAGACAAGCGCCTGCTGTTCAGGGAAAACACTGGCAGGACACTGCCCTGGGAGCTCCATCAGCCTTCAAAAGTTGGGTTGTTTCCTCCTCTCTGAACAGAAGTTGATCATCCCTTAGAATGCCCATTGCAGCCAGGCGGCTGGGAAGGGATCCAGCCACAGAGGATCCAGGCAGGCCATCACACCAAAGCCCTGACACTGCCCATGGCTCTGCAGTCGTGCACTCTTGAAAAGAGCATTTGCCAGAATAAAGCTTAAAACCAGAACTGACCCTCAGTTCAACGATGTGCCAGTCAGGAAGGGAACAGCACATCCTGTGAAGTCTTTGCCTTTGCAACTCTTGTTCTGCTGGTCTTGTTACCTGGGCAGTTTTTGCAGGTAAGCAGTGCTTTTTAATTCTTCACACAAGTACAGCTTCAGCTGTGCTGCACCTCCTTCCCTTCATCATCCTCACTCTGCTCCCCTGCCAACAGTCCCATCTTTATGCCCTCTGAAACACAAGTTATGGATATTTTTCCATGAAGCCTCATCTGTGAACACACGCAAGGAACAACCTGAAGTTCAGGAGCAGCAGAATGTTGAATACCCATTTTAGGAAAACTTCTTAGCACTGCAACAATCATAAACCCAAACCCTCTGTATCCACCAGAGGAGGATATTTTCTGCTTTCAGGTCCCAAGGCACTGAACTGGGGCAACTGGAATAGTCTACAATCCATTTATTCCTCAGCTCTACCAGAGCGAGCTTTGACAGGGTCCCAAAAGGAAGGCTCAGGCTTCTGCTTCACATTGTTCCTCCCTGCACAGCAAGTTCCCACCTGTGGCCAGACAACTTAGGCTCTGGGAGTTCCTTTCTGTCTCTACTTGAGCCCAGGTGTCAGGGGCTGGGAATGCCCAGGTCTGCACTGAGGAAAAAGTACTCCCCTTATACACAAAATGCATCTTCCGAAACAACTTCAGACTTCTTACAGTCTTCACTTGGCATAAAATGGACAAAACCAATAAAATGAACCTTTTTGCAGCCAACAGAGAGTTTGCAAAACCAGCATTACCTTACAGTGTCCTCCTGCACAGTCTGAGCTGTGTCGTTCAGCAGCCACACAGCAAAAGACACTTGTCACCTGTAAAGCCTCTCCTGAGGGAGGCCAAGGGCCTTGGGTAGGACAAGTATTTCTAAAGCCAAATGTAAGATAAGAAATGCCAAATTTAAAATAGTTGTCTCTTCATACTCCCAAAAGAAACAAGATGATCAGTGAGCCAACATTTTACAGCTGAATGATTGATGCTATAAACTTGCAGTTTAGGAAAAGGCTCGTGGTGAGGGTGCCAAATTCTCTTCTGGAGAAGAGCCCAATAAATGGAAGTTAAGCCTAAGTAAACCATTCTCTTTAACAAGAGAATGATACATTCTGTGGTCAACTGTGCTGGCATTTTGTACATCTCAACTGAATGCAAGTGTTGAGAGAGACTCTCCACACGCTCCATGGTCCCAGCCAGCAGAGCCACACTCTGCTCAAAGCCCCTCCTCCAGCAGGTGCTTTCCTCCTGCTCCCTGGGACAAGGTGCACCAGAGCCCAAAGCTGAAGCAACTCAAACCTCTTCAGAGTTTGTCTTTTGTGCACTTTTTAGACTCTGTTTTTCCATTTCTGTCACTGCACCTTCTCACCTTCTCAGAATACCTGTGGGTTTATTTGGTTCACAAACTAGAGGAATCACAGAATCAAGCCCACGCACAAACCAAGCCCCCACATGAGTTACGTGCTCTGCAGCTGACAGAAGGACACAAAGACACCTGGTTCAGAGGCTGATGTTGATCCAAAATCTCCTTAAACTTCCTCGGTTTTGGACTAACTCCAAGAAGTCTCGTGGCTCTCAGAGGTGGCATTTACCTAAGAAGTTGTGCATTATCTGTCTATTGAGCTCTTTAAAAACAACACAGGCGAGCCAAAAAGTCTCCTTTGTCTTTCCAAACAATTCAGGAGAAATTTTGAAAACCCTGCATAGCACAGAGACCTTGGAGAGGTGATGCAATTCTCTGAGGAAACACTATTATCTTGTGCCACACTTCACACGAGGCAGCTCACCAGAGACACTGCCAAACTCCTGAGGTCACAGGGTCTTTACAGACCCAGAGCAGAGCAGGACAAGCCTCTAAACCCAGTCACAGGCCAAGAACATTCTTCTCTTCCTGGCTGGCAGGGGATATGCAAAAACCTAACTAATAAACAAGTAACCATGGACTTAATTTACCTCAAGCAGTTGATGAAGTGCAGAGTGTGCAGGCACACACTTAATCCTGGCTGTCAGGGAGCTCTTACTCATCCCTTTTACCAAGGAATGGTTACCTTAGATGCTCCACTGGGTACAAAGCACATCCACAGGTCCTGACTGGCAAGGATTTCATACATTAACTTGGTTCATTGCAATTGCAAGCCCTCAGCAGACTTAGGAGTTAATGACATCCCTTCAGGCAACAAGCAAAAAGACACAAGAATGCACAAATTCCTCCACCCTGCCTCCCTCAGCCTTCATGGTAACACAGAGAAAAACTATCCCTCCACATCCTTGAGCCCTGCCATCCAAAAAAATGCATCCATTGCTCTGGATTCAGGCCTGTGATCCTGGAAAAACAATCAGGGAATCACTGACCAGGTCAGCGAAGATCAGAGATGGTTTTCAATCTACTGCCCAGAGAGGTTGTGGACTCCCCCACCCCTGGGTGTGTCCAAGGCCAGGTTGGACGGGGCTTAGAGCAACCTGGGATAGTGGAAGGTGTTCCTGGCCCATGGCAGGAGGTGGAAGGGATGAGCTTTAAGGTCCCTCCCAACCAAACCATTCCATGATTCCATTCCTGCAGACACTCCCTGTCACCATTCCCTCCCGAAGGCCTGTGTTTGTTGATGAGAGCAGGTACAACGTGCCCCAGCTCTGGGAGCTCCTGTGCTGGAGGGCTCACATTTCCCAGGGGAAGGAGCAGCTCCTGCAGGTCGGGCTCCCTGCCTGGTGTTTCCATCCCACCATGGTCCTTGTATCTTCCTCTCTGAGTGTAAACCTGGACGTAGTCCCACTGCAGTCATGGTAACTACAGCTGCTCGAGCTACAGCCAAAGAAACAACCACCAGCCCCTCTAGAGCAGGAGTTTCACTGCAACACAACCCGTTAAAAACAGACTCCCTGTCTGGCTGGGTAGCGAAGGGATCTCAGGAAGCAGCTTGGATTACTTGCTTCATTTTGCCAGGGATCTCTTGGAGCCAAGTTTTCTTTCACACGTGTGCAGTTCCCTGTGTGTTTTCTGCACGTGGGGATAAATTCCCCATTATTTGCACACCACAGGCAAGAGCGCAGGAAATAATCCCTGTGACACACAGAGGCTACAGCAAAGGGTTGCTGAGAAGGCTCAGCTCTCATTCCTTCCTCCCTACCTGCAAATGAATTAATCTGAGAGCTGCCTCTACATGTTCCAGCTGTGCTTGTGCAGGGTTTCCACACAACAGCACCGGGTACCATGTCAATTAGGGGGTGGACACAGTCACCATTAATTAGTCACAGGGAGGATATTTTTAGAATAACTGGACAATATCAGCAAAAACAAATGCTTGTTCTTTTAGCAACATCTCACTGCTTCCTCATTCTTCCTCCTTAATGAAGGCCCTGTGTCTTAGCTCACATCTGTAAATTTTTGGCACCAACTCCTGCCTATGGAAGCCTCAATGCACGAACCCCCTCAGCACCACAGGAACACAAGAGGACAGGCCTTCTTGGGCCAGCTCTCTCAAGATAAGCCAGGTCTACCTGCCACAACACTGGGCTCATCTTGGTAATACCTCCACTTTGAGGTGTGACTTGATCAAATAGCATAGATCAAATAGCACATAACTGTACTCTAAAGAGCAAACAGCTTGAGATTAAACTGAGAAAATAGCCAGAGTTTGAGATTTTGCAATCAAAGGACAAGAGAAAAGGATTAATCCAGCCTAAATTCATGTGAATACAGTTCCTTCAGCTCAGAATTTCAAGTTAAGTGTTTGTGTGTGTGACAGGATTTTTGTCCTGTGGAGTTTGTTGCATGTCAGGCAATGGTTCTGGAGAGGGCTGGCAAACTGTGCTTTCCTCCAAAGTTGGAGCACTGCACCCACAGCAGCGTGACAGCTTCAGTTTTACTTGGCAAGGAGCTGGCTCAACCCAAATTGCCGTTCTCCAGGGAGCCTGCATCACTTCTGGAACATGGAATCACGGAATCACAGACTGGTTTGGGTTGGAAGGACCTCAAAGCTCATCCAGTCCCACCCCCTGCCACGGGCAGGGACACCTTCCACCAGCCCAGGTTGCTCCAAGCCCTGTCCAACCTGGCCTTGGACACTTCCAGGGATGGGGCAGCCACAGCTTCTCTGGGCAACCTGTGCCAGGGCCTCCCCACCCTCACAGGGAAGGATTTCTTTCTAACATCTAATCTAAACCTGTTCTCTATCAGTTTAAAACCATTCCCTCTTGTCCGGTCACTCTTGCCTGTATAAAAACTCCCTCTCCCTCCTTTTTGTAAGCCCCCTTTAGGCCCTGGAAGGGGCTCTCAGCTCTCCCTGGAGCCTTCTCTTCTCCAGGTGAGCACCCTCAGCTCTCCCAGCCTGGCTCCAGAGCAGAGGGGCTCCAGCCCTTGGAGCAGCTCTGTGGTTTCCTCTAAACTTGCTCCAGCAGGTCCGTGTCTTTAGTATAACTCTGCCAGCCTGAGGTCCAGTGGTCCCAGCAGGAGAGGCCTCTGCTGCTGCCTGGGGGTGTGAGAGCCCTGGGACGATGAAGGACACGCACAGGGAGGAGGGGGTTGGACCCAGCAGGCACAGCTGGGGGCACTGTGGGTTTTGTTCTGGTACAGGCACGTTGAGGCTGTGGAGCATTATTTCTGAATGGCTGAGTCCTAATTTTCTTCCCCTTCCTGACCACGAGAAATGGGAGCTTTGCTGCAGGTCCTCTGAGCGTGCCATGTGCAGGGGTTGTGTCTCCAGCTGCCCACAGACACCTGAGGAGACCTGGTTTGCCTTCAGGAGTTTGCTCCACGGGTTTGCAGGAGTCTCCTGAGGAGAACAGTGCAGGGAGCTGGAGCATCACTCCCGGAGAGCAGCCTGGGTTACGTGGTCACTCTGAAGGGGCTTCTTGTGGCCAGCACTGGGATTGAGAGCCAGCTGTGACCAGGACTGGGTCCAGTGCGGAGCCTGGCACGTGTCCCATGAGCTGCTCCCAACAGGGCACTGGAGGCACTCAAGGAGTCACTAAATCCACCCAGGCACAGGGTCAGCTCAGGGCTCCTGCACCAGTGGCTTCCAGCCTGTGTTTGTTGTTTTTGTGTCACTCCTTTGATCCCAGAAAGGAGGTTGCTTAATATTTTCATGGCTTCCTTCCACCAGGGAAATTACATTTCAGGCTTAAGAGTCTAAATCTCTTCTGCTTCAGAGTCCTTTATCACTTTCAATAGTCTGTAATCATTTCTAGACCTATTTCAAAGAAAACCAGTGATTCCTGAATCCACTATTATAATTTCATACTTTGCCTGAAGGCCTCTATAGGCATCACCTCTCTCTGGATTCAGGACTTCAGCAGCATTTTGGAAAACATTCTCTAGATAAGCAGAAGGTAGAAAATCCAGGCTAAATAAGACTCAGCTCTTTTGGAAATTCAGCTTGGCCTCTGAGAAGTGAACTGTCTGTGGAAGGTTCCCTGCCCATGGCAGGGAGGTGGAACCAGATGATCTTTGAGGATCCTTCCAACTCAAACCATTCTGTGAGTCTATGAAAGTTTCAAAGATAAAGGACAAGGGATAACTGACCTCTCATCAGAGGTTAAACAACCAGGTCCATGGCACATTGTACTCCCCAACAGCTGAAACACCACAACACTCCTCCAAATGCCACTGGACACCAAGGACACTTTTACAGCAGATCTGGCGCATTTCTGCACCAGAAAAATCCAAGAAACAGAAATCCTGCAGCTGTCAGAGCAGGATTTTTGTTGGATACTTGGATACACTGAGGACAGCCTGCCTGCTTTAAACCTTGTCTCAAGGCTTCAGTTTCCACCCAAATCCATAATCCCTTGAGCAAGGCTACAAAGTCATGGATTTTAGGAAGGGGACAGCACAGGACTTGAATTAAGTGCCTGCTAAAGTTCCATTAGCTCAGAGGAATAACACAGCACATCCATCAGATTTGATAAAACCTTCAATCCTGCTTCGACTTCCAAAGAAATGCAGTTTGCAAAAGCTCCCTGCAGTACAAATCATGCTCTGGGTTTGTTTGGGTTTGGTTTTTTCCCCCATACAATAGAGATATTTCAACTAATAACTGAACAGCCAGAGCACCAAAATGCATGACCCAGGTAGATCTTTCCAGTGAATAAAAGAAATGAATTAAAAAAATCTATCCCCTGGAGCATTAGGGACAACTGGCACAGTGAAACAGCCAGTGTCTCAATCTTACATTTTACCCAGTATTTTGTAATAAAAGGTTATGTAATTCCAAGTCATTTATACTAAAGGAATGTGGGAGCTACTGCAAAGCACTCCAGAGGATCAGGCAGAAAGCTTCATCTGTGCTTTTGGCAACTTGCAAATACTTTCCTGTCTCTGAAATTTATGGTTAATAATGTCAGTGCCATGGCTCTGGCAGGCAGAATCTCCAGTATTTCCAAACTTTTGGTTCAAGCTGATTATTCTTAATCCAGAAAATTAGGACAATCATTTTAGCTAGGTTTTTTTTAATATTTTCTTTTTTGTTGTTTTTTTTGGTTTTTTTTTTTGAATGAGGCTTTCCAAAGCTCAGCACAATTTCACATCACTCCGTCCCCATCTCAAAAAAGAGGCACACTTGGAGTGCCAAGGAGATGACACTGCCACAATTACTGATGAAAAAGTGAGGTAGGAAGTTATCTTCAGTAGTTACAGTCAAAATATGCATTTGATTAACAAGAAACAAAGAAAGTGTGACTCAGCTGAGAAAACAAAGCTCTCTTTAAATGAGACACTGGAGCTGTTCTGCACCACAACAGCCAAACTGAGCCCCTCTGGGGCAGTGACCCCTCTCAGAGCTGGTTTTTACCTGCAGTTGCTGCTCTGGAAGGTACCTGGGGAACAGGAGCAGAGCTCCAGGCAGGCCAGCGCTTCCTCCACGTTCTCAGCTATGGAATTAATTCATGTCTGCAAGAATAGCCCTGCAACCCCTGCTGTGCTGCGAGCCTCGACCCTCACAGCTCACGGGGAGCCAGAGGGGACCAGGGTGCTGCCCTCCCACCCACTGCTCTGGGAAAGGGCAGGGTCGAGGGCACAACAGAGCCCCCCATCAGCAGAACTGCTCTGGTGTGATTTACAGAGCACAGCAGGATTTATGCCCTGGACCTGCCGAAGAAGTCACCACAACAAAAACAAAGCAAGCAGTCGGGAGTTTCACAGGTCCCTTGGGGACACAGTGACTTCTACTGAGCCAAAACCCGAGGAAAACCTCCTCGGTATCAGTATAAGCTGTTCCAGCTCATGCCTGGAGAAAGATCTCTTTGAAAAAGAACAAAGTAGAGCTGACTTACTTGTCCAGAATGAAATACAGATCAAACCCTCCGTAGCAGGCAGGACCCCCGTTCTCCCTCTTCCCGCCGTGTCCATCACAGGTGAGCGTAAAAATTGCTAGGAAGAGACATTTGAAGCCAAATCTCAAGATGCTTTGCTTTGCAATGGCCATTATATCCAGAGAGGAGGAGAAAAAGAAATCTCTTCTTCCAAGGCTCCCTTATTTCACAGGTTTCTCCACAAAAGCCATTCAATGACCTTTAAATGTATATATGTAGGTTGTATTCCTTAAAACTCCACTTGCAACAGTTGTCCTCAGGAATTGCAAGACTTTCCCCCTTGTTTCCCTTGCACTTCTGTTTCTCGGTTTCAGATTTCAAGATGCACAATACTGTATTTCACTTTTTTTTTTTTTAAAGGGACTTGACCCTCAGTCTCCCTTGCAGCTCTCGGAAAGCAGCACCATTGTTTTGCAAGAGCAGGAGCAGCCTCCTCACAAATCTTGCTTTGTCACAGACTTCAGAAAATACAGGGAGGGTTTGAGGCTTTCTTCCCCCCCTTAATTATTATTGTTATTATTAAAGATGGTAAGTTCTACTCCTCCTTAGCAAAAAAAGCTCAGAGAATGCCACCTCGTGGTCAAAGCTCAGGCTGAGTGAGTCTGGTTTCCAGCATATTTGTGCACTGAGCACATGAACACACCACAGCAGCTTCAGGGATGGACAGAGAAGTGGTTTGCTCACAGCAGGCACAGCCCTGTGCATGGAATCACAGACTGGGTTGAGTTGGGACAGATCTTAAAGATCACCTTGTTCCACTCCCCTGTCATAGACAGGGACACCTCCCACTAGCCCAGGTTGCTCCAAGCCCCGTCCAACCTGGCCTTGGACACTTCCAGGGATGGGGCAGCCACAGCTTCTCTGGGCAACCTGTGCAAGGGCCTCCCCACCCTCACAGGGAGGAATTCCTTCCCAATATTCCATCTAACCCTGCCCTCTGGCAGTGGGAAGCCATTCCCCCTTGTCCTGTCATGTCCTTAGAGACATCTGTGTTTCCCACAAAGGAAAAATCTGAGTTTACAGACCTTTAAAAACCTGGAGTAGCTTTACAGAAGTTAAAGCAACAAGCCATGCCAGGCTTCATCCCTTGTATTTTGTCAGTCCTGAGAAATACTCAGTAATGTCTGTGTCTCTTCTTCTCCAGCTGAACAAACCAAATGCCCTCAGCTGCTCCTCATAAGGCCCCTCCAGACCATCCTCATTGCCTCCTTTGGACACTCTCCAATGTTTTTGTTATATTGGTCCCCCAAACTGCCCCAATGTTGAGGTGAGGCTGCCCCAGGGCAGAGCAGAGCAGGACAATCCCCTCCCTGATGCCCCCAGGACACGTTGGCCCTCCTGGCTGCCAGGGCACTGCTGGCTCAGGGACAACTGGCCATGGACCAGGACCCCCAGGGCCCTTCCTGCAGCTGCTCTCCAGCCTCTCATCCCCAGCCCACACACACAGCCAGGGCTGCCCCGGCCCAGGGGCACAATCCGGCCCTTGCCCTTGTTCCACTTCCCATGGTTGGGGATTGTCCATCTCTGATCTGTCGTGGTCTCTCTGCCCTCGAGGGAGTCAACAGCTCCTCCCAGTCTGGTGTCCTCAGCAAAATTACTTAGTATTCCTTTGAGTCCTGTGTCCAGGTTGTTAATGGAGATGCTGAAGAGCACGGGGCTGAGGATGGAGCCCTGTGGAACCCCACTAGTGACCGGTGCCAGCCTGATGCCACCCCGGTCACTGTCACCCTTTGTGCCTGACCCATGAGCCAGTTGCTCACCCATCATGTAACACGGTTCTCCAGCTGTGGGCTGGACATTTTGTCCACAAAGATCTTGGGAGAGAAACAGGCTGTCCCCTCTCACCATCCTTACCAAACTCATTTCAACCACTAAAACCTGAACCCTCCTCTTCCAAGGAAACTCAATGGAAAACGTCACTTCATCTGCACTTGTATCTCCCACCTCCTTCCACAAACAACACCACAAGCTCTAAGACTGGAGCAGCAGAGCTCAAAAGGGAGAGCATTGCCCTGGCAGGGCAGCTCTTACACCAATAAAAGTAAACCCGAGATTCCAGGAGGGCTCCCAACTTTCCCTCCCAAACCCTCTCAGGCTGCACCCACACACTTCTCCAAGTACCAACTGCTGCCGAGTGGAGCAGCTTCAGGGGTGGGGGGACCAGGCCAGGTTTCTGATGGGGGAGGCAAGTGCACTTGAGTCAGGCTTTCCAGCTGTTCATCATTGCCTAAAGAGTTAAATTTGTCTTAAAAAAATTCTTAGCGAAAGCAACCAATGTGAGGGAAGACCAGGACGAGCAGCAGGATAAGGTGCAGGGGGAAAAAGCAAACGGTGATAACAGACTTTTGACTGGAGTGAAAATATCTGAATGACAGAGCAGTCAGACACCTTGGTGCATTGCTGACTGAGACTTTGGGAGTGCTCTCCCTCCCATCCCAGCTGGGCTCAGCAATTGGAGCAGCTCCATCACCTCCAGTGGGAATAACAGAGACCCAGGCAAATGGTGCCTCCTCGGTCCTGCTGCCAAATCCTGGTCACAGCTGAACACAGTGCAGATCCCTTGGAGCCAAAGCTTCTCTAGGGCCAGACAGCAGCAGAAACAGGTGTTTTACAGGTGAATATCTTGGGCTTCCACATCTAAACCAGGGGAGGTGGGAGTGCAGGAGCGAGTCTTTCAATTTACCTCCGAGTCTGAAAGGAGAGCAGTGACACAGCTCATGAGTGCACAGGGAGAGGATCCGTGCCAGCTTCCTACAATCCCTGGAAATACAGCACAATGTCAGAAATGTGTACAAGAGCCCTTTGCACAGGTAGCTGTGCTGCTGCCCAAACTGAGGGCTGGCCCCTGCCCCAGCCCTGGGTGGGCAGGATGTGAGGGCAGGTGCTCCTTTATGGGCAGCTGTGGAAAAGATGGAGCATCACCTGCTGGTCTGCATGTCCAGGTGATCTGGGGGCTTGAACCCTCCCAGATGAGACTTCTGGAGACACCACAGTGCAGAGCTATAGCTCCTGTAGCCAGCAAAGATATAGGGCTTGGGGATTATAAAGTTTCATACAGCTGTTCTGGACCAAATCTATTTGTAGTTATGGAGCTGGAGTTACCAAATCCTGGGATCAGGTGTGGAGAGTTTTGTGTATGTATTTGTGCTGCCCTAAGGAAGGGGATGGGACTAGTCTATGGATTCTTTGTTTGGTATTTTAAAAGAAAATGAGCTGAATGCAGGATGTAAAACTAGGAAGGGTAGAAGAAAAGCTTCCTCTCTGGGGACTGATGTGCTGGCTTTGAGACATTTTGGAAAAGTACTTAGGGCCAGCTTCAGATCTGAGATACAGTTAAGGCTTCTGTCATGGCCAGATTTGTGTTGCTGTCATTGGTTTGTGATCCGTGTCTGCTAAAAGATTAAAAGCAGTGATAATCTCTTCCATTTGTTTCTCACTACCCCTGAGTTGAAAAAAACCTCAAACAAAGAAAAAGCTGTACCTCAGGAAAATAAGTTTGTTGTGGAGCAAGAGGAGGGAAAGGAGGGGGAATGGAGGAGGAGATCAGATTGTGTAGCTGTGGATTCAGGCTGACAGAAGGCCCAGGAAAGCTTGGGGAAAAGCCAAGGAATGAGGCAGCAGATGAAGCTGTGAGCACTCTGACATGGAGGGAGCTGCTGACAGAGGGGAACACTGAGCTTTGTGCTGCAACTCTGACTTTCTTGAGGATTAATCTTCTTCATATGCAGGTCTTAAGAATGTGTATTTTTGTTTATGACCTGGTAAGAGCAGCATCAACACACTGAGGAATTCAGGTCCATAACAGGAAGCTCATGTGGGACACAGGAGGGGTGTTGGAATTTCTGTCCCTCCCTTGCTAAAAAAAATGTTAAATCCAAAAATATTACGCAGACTGCAGCTTTTGTGTGAGACCTGCCAGTGCTTGGGAAGATGGGGTGTGTTCTAGTCTTTGTGTAAGAGACAATAGTAAGGTGTTTTAGTTGCATTCAGCAGTGCAATGGGTAATTGAGCTCCAACTGATGCCCTTGTCGAGTGATTAGAACTTGCATATGTAAATGATGAGGGAAGTGCTATCAGCAGGTTTGGTTTTATCAACTACTCCCTTATATGTGTCTGTGAGACCTTCTCAGGAACTCCCAGCTCAGAGGAAGCTGGTTCTGTCAGCCTGTGGGAGCAGTGCTGCTGAGGGTGACACAGCACAGCCTTGGGTGGGTTTTGGGGGTGGTTCCCTTTGGCTCCCAGAGGCCTGACCTATATGGTGGGTAATGGCTTTTGTCAAGATCTAAAAATCCCGTTCCCTGGTTTTTATGGCACTTCAGGAAGCTGTTGCAGCCCTGCGTGGATAACTGAGATGTAGCAAGTTTCCTACACCACCCACCGTGATTCTCACAATTCCATTATCTCCCTGCTGGCAGTGCAGACAGGTCCCCCGAGCCACTGGCTGTGTCCCCAAGGGTGTCATTCAGCACAGCTGGGGGAGGACTGCAGAGCTGCACTGCCCAGGCAGGTGCAGGACCACAGACTCCTCTGCACGTTTCCAGCTCGGTTGTACAACCTCACAACTCGAGGCTGACGCTCAGTGGCCAACGGGGGTTTTTCTTCCCTGGGCTGCTCTAATTTTTCAGGGGATCAAGAGCTCCCTTGTCTCTTGTTTTTATCTGACTTTGCCCTGCTGTGATTTTATCTGCCTCTGCTGTAGCACGTAAAGGCTGCAATGTATAATTTCCTTGGTGATTCGAGTTTGTTCCACTAGCTCTTTTAACAGGGGCTGCTAACTCCGTGTGTGTGTGACCTTTTCCTGCAGAGGAGTGTTACTCTAAGCATATGGATGAAAATCATGGCTAGGCTTCACGAACGAAGATTTGGGAAGGCTCTATCCACATTTGCTGCAGGCACGCTGGTGGCTTATGAGGCCAATACGTGACAGACAAATCCGATTGCAAAAGGCACAGCAGAAAGACTCCTTAGAAGGTGTATTCTGCAATACACGGTTCTTTCTGCGTTGCCTTTTTTCCTCGAGGGTGATCCTGTGTGTGTTTTCAAAGGAGACAGCTGCGTTATAGATGGTGTGTCTCCAGGCCTCCCGATTTGATGCCAGAGTAGACCAGTTGTGGTGATCAATATGGCCAAGGCTGAGATGTTGTTTCAGGGAGTCCTTGTATCTTTTCTTCGGGGCTCCTCTCATGCGGCAGCCAGTGGCAAGTTCACCGTAAAGCAAGATCTTAGGGAGGCGGTGGTCCTTCATCCTGGAGACATGACCTGCCCAACGCAGCTGTGTTCTCATCAGCATGGCCTCGATACTTGTGATAGCTGCTTGCTCTAGAACAGATGTATTGGTCACATAGTCTGACCAGTGGATGTTTAGAATTGTACGGAGGCAGCGTTGATGGAAGCGTTCTAAGAGACGCAGGTGGTGGCGGTGGATGACCCATGATTCAGATC